ATAAGCGTGCATCAGGTAGCTGACTCAGTGCTATCCCCTTGCGCACGTCTCGAGCAATGGACACAGCAAACAGAAGCATGCGCTTCTGAAAAATTTCAACCATGATATGCTGACGCAGGCGGACTGTTTACGCATCCATTTGTATGCACTACCATTCACCAGGCAGCTTCTGCCACTGACAGACTACCTTTGCTAACGACAAGCCTGTCATTAAAATCGGCTGGCATTTCCTCCTTCATATAGCTTAAGCCCGACAACTACTTTGTGATTGTGGGTCCTATATAGCCACTCGTGATGAAGGACCAACCATTCGCGAAGTCTGCCAGCGAATGGCCAACGGTATAGATAAGAGAGGAACTTTGTGAACTGGGCGGAATTCCCAATTTTTTTTTCGTTGTCATTGGCTGTCTCCACAAGTAATACGTTCTCTACGGCCATTCGTCGGTGACTGCGATTACGAAACTTTTAAGCGCACGAACGTCCTTGTGTAGCAATATACATGAAATTTCGATTGCATCTGGTGCTGTCTACAAATATGTATCGCGGCAATGATCGTACATTTGAAACGAGATCGTCATCACGAGTAGAGATCATACGAAGGAAGACACACATCAAGTGCTGTATGTATTTTTCGGTGTGTGTGTGGTGGGTGTGTGTGTGTGTGGTGTGTGTGTGTGTGTGTGTGGTGTGGTGTGTGTGGTGTGTGTGTGTGTGTGTGTGTGTGTGTGTGTGTGTGTGTGTGTGTGTGTGCGTGCGCGTGCGCGCGCGGCGCGCGAATAATACGTTGATGCGGGCTGTGAAGGGTTATCAGCTATACAGGAAAGTGCGTCACCTGCATAGGCTTCAGCGAATTCAACCCCTGATACCGAGTTCGCATAACCTTCCGTTCGTAGTGGTTCGTGCTATATTGGCAGGCAGTTTTTGCAAACAATCTTGCGAGTGTAAGATTTGTCTGGAATTTGCCGTTACGAAGAATGATACCGTATGAGAGGCGTTTTGTGCGTAGCCTATCGTTTCCTCTTATGGTATAATTTGGCGGAAGCCGTGAGCAAGCTGCGCTCCTCCGGCAGGTACGTGGCAGCTGACCTTCGCCGAGTGCTCGGCCCCCTGATGCTCTGCCTTGGCGGATTCCTGCTCATCGGCGGCTGCGTGTTCATGGCTTTCGGCTACTACTCGAACTACCGCGACGAAGAGCGCGGCTACTCTCAGGCGCACGCGCGCGACTACGACAGCGGCCAGCAGCCCAGAGATGTCAAAGTGAGCACGTACTGAGAGCGGCCCAGGTATTTGGTTTGTCTCACTCTCGCGGCGCCCATTCCGCCGAGGAGACTCCCCCGCCGCTTTCGTGTCCAAGTCGACCTCTTTCCTGCATGCTGCTCACTGCGACAGCCCTTCGCAATCCTTCCTCAGCATCCGCCCTGCGGCTCGACGCGCATTTGCGCAAGCACACGTGCGAAACGAGAAAGATGTCCTGGAGCACAGGCGGATGGCCTTGCAAGTTTCATGTATGCTTGAAGGGTTTACACAAAACATTTGTGGTACGCCTATAGAGGCCCCTGTAAGACAAGCGGTAGTTTTAAAGGCTGTCGGTGTTATCGGGCGAGACAGTTGATCTGACAACGTCTGCACACGGGCGTATTGGTTTCATAGAAGCACGCCGGGCAGCGAATTCGAAAGAAATAGATAAGCATATCAGGTAGGTTCATATAAATTGGTATGCAGATAGATATACGTTCAAAATATTTAACCCAGGAAACTGGCCTAACGAATACATTAAATAATTAACAGCTTTGGTGACCCAAAGGGTTCTATACTGGCTATCCTCACGTCATGGAATGAGGTCACTGGCGGGGAGGTAAATGGAAGTCTAAATGTTTGCCTACCTTTGAGGCGGATAAGATGGCATGATGGCGGAAGTTGTATAAGAGGGGATGAGAAATAAGTATTTTTTTTAGCTATCGCTGCCAACTTCTCGTGTCGGGCATTGTAATAAGAATTATTGCGGAGTTTTGACTATAATCCTATCATCACAGCGTATGCTGTTATTTAAAGTCTGATATCATGTGCAGTAACCTTTCTGTAGTCATGAATTTAGGCGTGCTACTCATGGAACATGGAAAGTTATTAATAGTGCGAGTATCTTTACAGTGAGCTGCTTATTTCGAATGATTCTTTTCGGTCACTCATCAATGCAGCTGCATGAGTGCTTCGTTTACTGCATAGTAAAAGATTCCTATAGAAACAGCCTTAGAATTTTTCTTCTGTATCTTGTAACTTATTACACACCTCGTTCTATTGTTCAAAGGAGTACAGCAAGCCTGCTTTTTTTTGTCCCCATTTTAACTAGTGGAATAACTGGTTTCGCACAGGATGTACTTTACTAGTGCTACTTGTAAATTACCTGACACACGTACCTTTACCGACCGTACCCGCCACTAACAGCTTGATGACTAGTAGTGTGAGAGCCGAATGTCAGAGCGTTCTCCTCAGTAGTAAATTGCACTGTATAGTATACTTCAACCACGGTCCTCATACCCGCAGTTGTGGTCTCGTCCGCAACGGATGACCACATTTGAGTGAGGCCTGCGCGTCAAAGGCTTGATCCGCATTATACAAATCATATTTAATACGGTGTAGTTTATAAACCAATTTGACCCTAATCATCGAAACATCATTAATACATGAATTTAATTAAAAGAGCTTGCTTTGTTACGGTGACAAGAGGGCCGACAAATAATTACACTAATGGGACGTACTGTCATAAATTTTGCGAAGCAGGTGCCCATTTTGACTGCACTAAGGCTTTCGCTTGCATTTGTTATGTTTAAATGGTCGGGTAGTCTTGGTTGACCGCATGATCAGCAACAAAGCTGGCTGATATTCGCTGTCACAAGGAACACTCTAAATTATAAAATCTTTTTTTTTTGTTGACAGAAAAGTTTATTCCGCGATGTGATTTGCTTCATAAAATAGAATTTTCAATCCTGATGCTGGGTTAGCGTTAGCGAAGGCAACTAATAAAAAGTAACACTTACAAACGGGACCTTCCGTCGACTCGGCACTGTACAACTTTTACAAATTTTTTTGTTGAAACTCTCATCGTGTGATGAATTGTAAGGTCAAGTTATTACGTATGCGGATTTAGCGGCCGCGGGACAACAGCAAACGACCCTAAAATACGGACATAGCTGAGCGGACGTGGTAACTTCGGAAAGGTGTACCATTGACGAAACATTGTGCGGGGGCGATATCTCACTCACCCACGGCTCTCGGTTCTCTCTTACATGCCCTCATTTCTACTGTCGTATACTATAGGCAGTGTCTTGCCCTATTGTCATTCATTTTTACTTCACCTCCGCGCTGCGGAGCGCCTCAAATGTCCGCCTCGGGCGGCATTTGCGTATAGGGCAGGTCCGCACAAAGCCGTTATTTTTAGAGCGGGATAATGGAGAGCCGGTGCCGATCGAGGGTCGCTGAAAGAAGTGCGCGTCGCCATTCTTTTGTATCAGTTGAGTAGCTCATACAAGAAAATATATAGCGCTGCGATACGACGAATTTCTATTTCTATACGTGCTTTATGACTTTTGAACAGCGGATACCTCACTATATAACCAAAAAGGGCAAACTTTAGAAAAAAAATCTATGATGCCGGTGCGTACTCACAAAAAAACAAAACAAAAGAATGGGGACACGTGTTTATTCTCTGCTTCACAAACAAAAGACAAGGTAGAGCACAACAATTTAATGTCGACAATTTCAATCCCCGCGCGCCCTCAAACGCTGGGCTGTCCGCCGCTCGAGGCAAGGAAAGATTTACAAAAAATACAAAAATCAAGCCAACCTGTCAATAGCAGACGATGTTTCCCGTGTAGTATCGTTCAATCGACGAAACCGAAAGGCCTTCACATACAACGGGCACTTGAGCACATACACGCACACCTCTGGTCGCAGGGAAAACCTGTAACAGCCTCGCGATCCGAGCGGACTGAGTTGTGCCAGTTACTCGAACCACACAAGTGAGAAACGAGGCAGCTGAACACAGCGGCAGCGCCGATATGGGTGCACTTTCCCTTGGTCCGCTTCTTCCTCCATGCATCGGTATTTTATTCTTATTTTTGTCTCACCCAGGCGCTCGGAACAAGGACGTTGTGGCAGCACACGTGTGCAGCGAGGAAAAAAACGCGGTTCTCAGCAGAGCCGCGTCGGTTGCCCCCCCCCCCCCCCCCCCCCACGAAGGGAAAAAAAAGAGTTCACGTTTCCTCTCCGTGCCTATACTACATTGATCGGCAGCTCTGTTGACTCGATTGTGTGTAGGAAAACGCAGTCATCCGGCAGAAAGAGCGAGTGCGCGCCTGTTTAACAAGAGCGTCGTTATTAGTGCGAGTGTACTCGGAGACCGTCAGGCGTTCCCATAGATTTACCAGTCGCCAGTGTATACACTGCAGCGCCCGCGTTTTTAAACGCCCAACTAGGCTAACGCCACGGCTACGCCATGGGCTGTTCATGCTACGCGATCCGAAAAAAAAAAGGAACGAAAAAAAAGCATCCCTGCATGGCAACTCGAATACAGCGAGTGCAAACACGTAAATGTTTGGTATTTTCATTACGATCGTCATCTCGTCACTGTCCACACATTTCGAAATTTATCATTCCATTTGTTCAATTTTAAACCTGTATCCAATGAATGGGACTTTTTCCACAGCGATCTATTCCTGGCCAGTAATCTTAACAGATATATGCAGTATAGTTTGAGGTCATATTAATCATTATTCCTGTGATAACAATAAATGCAGATATCCGCACTTGAAAGAGTCCAGAAACACTTTTTTCCCAGTAATCGTCGAATCACCTTGATATCGGAGTGCCATTGCCTCGCGAATCGATTGCTACAGAAATTTCTCCAATCCGTCAAGAACGAGTCGAGTTACAGGGATTCGTCGCAAGCTTCAAGCGATTTCTCGGCCCTCTTATCCCAACCAGCGGACTGGAAACTTCCCAGGTAGGAATGGCGCGTGGGAGGGAAGCAGTGCGTGTCATGTACGCATCATAAAACGCGCACGCGCCCTACTGGTGCGATTCCGGTGCGTGCTATATAGTGTTGCTACTGTGTAATTTTTGCACACTATACACAGAGCACGGCGCCGGCACGTGGAGGCACCTTCTGGCAAGAAGCGCGTCTGATCAAAACGCGGCTCTTGACCGCCACGCAACAGTTTTACAAGTATATTTCTTCATTTGAAGGGCTTATTGCATCACGAATAAGCACGGCAACTGATTCGTGATGCCTGGCACGACTGTCAGCAGAGGTGGTATGCTGTCAGAACCCCGGTCCCAACACCATGGGCTTTGGGCTTATGGCGTGGTCATTCAGGCTTATGGCTTCATTTGCAGTGAGAAGAGGGAACCATTTGTAGCTTCAGGCCGCGTTTGGGCTGTAATGTTCAAGCTCTGATGTTCGACTCGCATGTTCTCGGGAGCCTCAAATACCAATCGGCAACGTTTTCTCGCCATGGTCTAAAAGTATGTCAGCTATCGGCAAATACCTATTTTATGAAGAAATAGAGCTGGCGCCGGTAGCTGCGAAAAAAATAAGCACGGGCTTCTCAATGATTAAGAGAAGACACTTGAGAAAGTGGCAACCTCACACCACGCTTGTAAACTCTCCTTCGTGCGCACGACTTCCAAGTTTGACTGGGACGTATTATCTCCACTGTATGATTTTTTTTTCTCACCAAGCATAGAGGGTGGTTCAGGATCCCTTTTAGGAAGGCATAACAAAGACGTCTAATTACTGCCTCTGTCCCTTTTGACCAGTGGTTCTTGCTCTTTGTCTTTGATGTTGCAAATATACATTTCTCTAAGTGTCACCAGCTGTCTCTATAGAGTATAGATTTTAATTCATTTGAATACATACTAATTTTCGAACCTTCCTTTTTTGAAGCATGCTTCCTTCTAAAAAAACATATTAATGTTACACATAAATAGTCTATCTTAATTTTTGTTCTTTCTAATCTCTTCTTTTTCTTGCCGTATATTTTTTCCTATAAGTATTATTTCTCAACTTTCGTTAAAATCATCAGCTTCTTTGCTCATCCACCTTAGTGCATACGCACATTCAGCTTATAAGGAGCAATCAGGTGAGTATGAAATCGGATATTCTAGAAGCCTACTGCTCTCTGGGCAAGTACCTGACAGCAGCAAGTTCGGCTGCCGCTGCTTCTTAGATCGTGTAGGCTGCACGCTTTTTCCGAAGTCATATTGTCGCTACTGCATGTCTTCTACACTGTCTTCAGTCGATCGAACCCCCGAATCCTTGCCTCCTCAGGTGGAATCCCCAACTTGAATGAACATGTCACTAACGAATTCGAAGAGGCGTAGCTCTCAGGGCTAGCCAGGGCACAAGGAACAGTAAGTGGCCCTGCGCGTCACTCAATCGATACTTCGCATTAGAAAAAAAAAACGAAGCAATGAATAGGCGATTTCTCAACTCTTTCCTAAATCCATTGAGGAAACTGTAAGAATCTAGAGGTTAAAGTAATAACGCAACGCGTCATTACCTTTTACACACTATGTACCAACTATCCCCAGAATAAGTTTTATTACGGTGAAAGCGAAAAAAAAAAGGAGTCCAGATGGTACGATTCGTTGTTGGTGGTAGTGTTTTTCTTTATCGTCATTGGTGTTACTGCTTCAATAACATGCTAACGAGATTTTACACAATGCATTTATATTTGCATGAACAATGAAGTAAGTAAAACAATAATTACGAAAAAAAAAAGAAACCATGACACCTGGTACACGTAAACACATATACCAGGTTTTCATTCAGAAAGAAGCCGATAAATTTTACAGCACCCCCTCCCCCCTCAGAAAAAAAAAACACTTTCCTATAGTCGAAAACTAAGGCGCACACTTCGAGCATTGTAGCCGTAGAAATACATAGCTGCAAAACAATGTGGAATCCGCCCGGAGACAAGCGAAGCTCGTACATCTGCGCACTATAAATAGCCCGTACAGCGCCTTTTAAACGAATTCCAGACTCTGTGGGAGACCGCTGTGTGCTGCCGCACGCACGACGACCGCAGGTTTCAGTGTCACTTAAGCAAGCGAACAATGGCTGTTCTCCTTTCAGATGCATTACTTCGAAAGCTCATCCAAGGAGGACTTGGAAGCCGGGACGAGGATGATGGAGAGATGATTGCAGCCCCGAACCTGCTCCACGACCCCTTGTATATACATTGTGTGTGTGTGTGAATGGATTCACATCGCAGAAGCACACCTGTACGTCGGTTGCGTGACTAGAAGTTTAACTCTACGCAGTATTTGCCCGCGCTCAACTATATGCCAGAATGTGTCATGTAACAAGCGGCACAATTTCATCGTCAGAAGTAACGACATCGCAATCACTATAAAAAGAGATGCATTGTCATTCATATAATACATGACCCGCATTGTAGTCATTAGCCACCCAGTGAAATAAAAGTGTAATCAAGCCACAAACTTGGTATGTCTTTTTTTTTTCGACGGTAGTGACGGTTACATAGAGCAGAGCCTTCAGGAAGCTGTAGCCACATTGGATAGATACCTAGTAGGCACGAGCCTGCGATGTTCGTCAAAAAAATAAATCTAAGCTCCTTCTATATAAACACACGCTTAAAGGCTGGCCGCCGAAATCATACGCAGGCAGTCGACACCTTGATCAAAATCGACACCTTGATCAGAAAAGTGTGCAGACAGGCCTTAGGCATTTCAGAATATGCAAGCAAGGAACTACTCCTGCAACTATAGGCGTTTCCAACACACTACACGAGATTGCCGATGCCCAGTGCGTCTGTGCAGTTATAAAGGTTGCCTTTATTGAAAACGGACAGGAACATATTGGCGAAATTTGGTATCACATACCACGTTCAGCACAGAAACAAACGCACGACATTCATACCCACATCCACTCAGAATCGTGATAAATCACCTTGAAATACGAACCCCACAACAAATGCAGAACGCAGACGCCACAGAACGAAAGTACTGCTCAAGCCACACGGCGCTAGTGAAAAGTCTCTCTTTGTAGTCCGTACTCCAAAAAAAAGAGCGCATGTTGCAGCAGCTGTATACAAGACCAGAAACTGCATTAATGCCTGTACTGTCCTAACGATACAAATTATGGAGGCCGAAGACGTGGCCATCGACATGGCCCTTACTTCCACTAACCATAACTTCATTGTGAATGACTCGGAGGTCGCGATTACGAATACTGCATGCGGACGTATTTCGCAAAGTGCCCTGAAAGTTCGAGCGCAGAGCCTGGAACTTCATGGTAAACTCGGGTGCGGAAACAAAGACAAGGACACGAAGACCAGACAGGACCAGGCGCAAACTTACAACTGAGCTGCTAGTCGTAACTGACAACTGGCAAAGTTACAACTGGTCAGTTGAGTGTTTGCGCCTGCCCCTGTCTGGTCTTTCTGCGTCCTTGTCTTTTTTTTATTTGCGTCAGTATGTACTACGACATCAGTTAAATAAAAAGGAAAAGTTCTGTTGTGTTCGATGCAGTGGACCATGCGTCCAGCGCGTCAAGTCAGGTGGTCGGCCGGGGTGGTGGTGAATGCCACGTAGGTGGCGAGTGCGAGCCTGGTGGAGGCCCGGACAGGTTCCCAATAGGTGATCGAGCGTTGCCTCTGTGGCTGGGGCAACGCAGAATGGGCATGTCGTTGGGGGAGGCTGTGCTCCGGATGTCCATGTAGCCCGGATTGCACGAGTCAAGACGGCACCCACACGAATCCTCCAGAGCACAACCTCCTCTCCAGAGCCACCGGGAAGGTCTGATCCACGCGGAGGAATGAGTGCACGCGTGCAGCGCCAGAGGGTTTCTTTGTGCACAAGCAAGCTGTCCTTGGAAGACAAACGAAGTAGAGGCAGCGGGTGTTGAACAGCCGCTGGAAGGCAAGCGGCATCTGCTTCCAATCGAGCCGGTGCAGACCGGCGGGTTCACAATACGCGGACAGGACAGGCGCATGAGTGAATCAGTCAGTGTTTATCACAGGGTATATCGAGGGAGCTTGTCACTTTTCGCAGCTCTCGAACTGCCTGCGTGGAGTCCGTATATACAAGCAATTTATCGTGTGACAAAGAATCCATTTTGGATATCATTACTGTGAACCCGTTCCGTATTGCAGAGAGCTCCGCTAATATTGGTGGAAACGGTGCTTCTGTTACGTAAGAACATGTATGTTGAGTTTAAGGTAGCGCGGGGCATACGAGACTGGTGCACAGAACGCAGTTATCGATAGTTGCGTCTACGCATACCGCTAGTGAGTTGTCGATGATAGTGACGACGCCCTCCTGCGCCACTTGTCGGGTGGATGGTCGCAGGCTGGTCAGTGGTCGGTTATCGCTGGCCTGTGCCTTGAGCCATGGTGGAACGTGCGTCAGGTTGTGGCAGCGTTGAATTATAGTAGTGAGCTGGATCTGCCGCCGCAGGAACAGCTTGACTCTTTAGGTAGTGAACGACTCAACGCTGGTGTACAATTTCGTCGAAGAGGTTGAGCTGCCCTTCCACCTGGAGGGTCGCGATAGGTGTTATACGAGGAAGGCATGTAATCGTCCTCATGGAATCTCGGTTGGCGTTTCGAGCAAGTTCCAATCTCTCAATGTCACTCGTTGAAACTGAACTTGGTAAACAAGCCAAGGTTGTAGGATTGATCACACCAACACACGGGCTATTCGAGAACAGGAACCTCCGGTCTTTTGAGAGATGCGACGAATGAGATGGAGAGTATTAGCACTCTTCCGACGAGCAGAGCAAACCCACGCATTCGTAAAGCATGATGCGTCCAGTTCGACTTCGTGCACACGGATTGTGGATACAGAAGTGAGGGTTTGGCCATTTAGGCTCAAACAAATCGGCGTCTGCAGGAGGCGACGGTGACCTCGTCTGTTGGTGACAGACATCGTCTGTTGGTGGCAGATAGTGTCAGTTCTATACGCCCACACCAGTCCGACGCCTTGTCCGGAAAACTCTGGAGGGCCTCCTGCTGGCGTTGCAGGTCTGGATGTAGTCTCCACACAGTCAGACTATCCACATACAGGAAGAAGAAAGTATCTGGAATGCGTGCTAGTTGCCACGCGACGGGCAACAGGGCTAGATTGAAGAGCATCGGGAACAGCACTGAGCCCTGCGGTACATCCCGCTTCATTACAAAGTGTCCAGTTCGTTCCTTGCCTACTCGCATGTAAAAGGTACGGTTTGCCAGAAAAGACACCACAAAGTCGCAGACGCGAAGCGGAAGTTGAAGCCATTGCATTATGCGAATGATCGCAGAGTGGCTGACATTGTCGTAGGCCTTATGAACGTCCATGGCGAGAAGGGTTCGAATGCTACTTGATCTTCTTCCCACAAGCACCATGGTCGTCGTTAAATGATCTACGCCATCTCCGTGCCAAGATGCGGTTGAAAACTAATCTGGGACGGATGGTACCAGGCATGCTCTTCCAGCCACCAGGAGATGCGCGACGCCAACATGCGTTCAAGAAGCTTGCACAACGTACACGTTAGAGCAATCGGCCAAGAGAGGCTGCTCGGGTGCTTTCCCGGCTTTGGTATCGGCACAACTTCGGCTTGCTTCCACAATTCAGGCCGCTCTTCGGTCGTCTACACTGTGTTAAGCGTGTCCACTGAAGCCACTGAAGGTAAGGGCCATCGATGTTTTTGAACACTTCATAGGAGATCCCATCTGGTCCTGGTGCCTTGCGTACTTTTGCCTGGTCAATTGCTGCCTGGAGCTCTGCCATCATGCACGGTGCTTGCATGCCTTCGATGTCTGACGGACTGGGAGTTACGCCAACCTTTGGAGGCAGGTTACACGAGCAGTCGAATTGTGGTGGGGCCAGGTTGTAGGCTGGGAAGAGAACCTTAACAATTTCTGGAGCGAATTGGTTTGGCGTGCATCCAGAAGACAGACACGCACTGGCCGCTGGGTACGGCGTACGCGTGCCTGATTCCATGCTCCGGAACGTTCACCACATTGAGGCGGATGAAGACGATGGAGCGAGTGACACACACCAGTCCATCCACCGTTCCCGGGCGCGACGCTTCTCGCAGTGACGCGCTGCAGCGGTGAGTCTGTTGACGTTATCACGAAGCTCAGCGGCGGCCGAATCTTGGTTTAAGGCTAGCTCTGCACGACGGCATGCTGCCCACAGACGCAGAAGATTCAAGTTTAAAGGCGGCCTGTTCTCCTCTACCCAGCTTGACTGCATGGTGGCTAGTACAGCTGTGATTAACACCTGCAATTGATCAGACGATTTATCAGCAATCGAGGAGTCCAGTTCCTTGCGGAATAAGTCCCAGTTGGTTGTGTAGCATCGACGTCGGAGGCAGCGCTGTTTATACGCTCCCAAACCGATTATCAACGGATGGTCATCCCTTCCCCAGCAGTCTGGTTCTATGTCCCACGAAACTTCACACATGCCCAACCTCTCCGAGAAATCGGGCGCATACGGTGGATCACAAGGATGATCCCACCAACGTGGCCGGGGCATTCAGAAGGACAAAGTGCGCGTCTGTAAATGTGTCTAGAACGATGTTGCCTCTAGCACTGGAAGAAGGGTAGCCCCACGACTGTTGAGGTGCATTGAAGTCTCCCCCAACTAGCCCTGGGCACCCATAGTAGGTTCGACGCAGGAGAGCCAGCCACTCCAAACGCAATCGATGAGCGCTGCCACTATACGGACGCACGTAAACTGAAATCACAATCACGTCAGTACGCGGAAGTCTAACGAGCACTGCCACCACTTCTTGCCACTGGTTACACCACGGCAACAGGAGAACTTGCGTTTGAGGATATGTAGTCACAACATACACTGAAGTCTTGCCTGGAGGTCCCAACGTCGATCAAGGATGGATCAGGAATTCAGCGTCGATCAGGGATGGTTGGAGAAGCATACGCAGTGAATCTAGGGATGCGTGGAAGCGAATTCGTTTCCTGTAGAAGCAGACACCAAGCGGGGAGCTTCCCCAGCGCAAGGCGATAGGGAAGCTCACCAACTTTTTTTTTGCAAATCCCCGGCAGTTCCACTGCAGGACACAGTGGTGGCGCATTGTTTTCGAAAGAGCGGTCATTGCGGTGGGAGGTTGGCGAGCAACATCTTTGATAGCTCCTGCAATTGCACGGCAACAAAGTGGAGGAGCTCTGCCGGAGTCATTGTGACTGGTGCTGACGCGCTTGTGGAGAATGATTCAGGCACAGAAGACGCGTACGGCACGTCTGTACCGCGCGTCGCAGTTGGTCTAGCGGGTCGAGTGAGATGGGTTCTGCGTTGAGCGAGGCGCTTGACTTCCATTTGGAGCTGCGCTATATATTGGTCAAGCTTCGCCAGATCGTCTGTCGTCGTAACACTAAATTCAGGCGTGCTCTCAGCCTGCTGAACAAATTTTTGCCCCGCTTGACGGTGTCGCTGTACGTGGGGGCTTCATAGCAAGCATTGTCAGGTTCTACCGATGC